GTTATAAAATAAAAGATAGTGCTAGAAACAGTATTGTGATATACAATTGGCTATCTTTTTTATTATCGAAGCTATTAGAGCCCCTTTCGTTTTTTTGTATTATTATTATTTTCAGGTATTATAGGGTCTTGAGTAGGCTTCGTATATTAGCGAATTGTCTAGTTTGCTTGTAATAGGATTTCTGGGTAGGAAGTGAAACCAATTCAACGTTCGTAACACGACTTAAAGAGGTATTTTGCGTGATAAATCAGCATCAATACCATAAGTTCGTGACATCCCACTAAACCATAAGGAGCCGTAATTAAACAAATCGTTCTGCCCTATAGACATAGGTGGATTGAATTTATCTCCTCACCATCATGTTTGCTGGTCAGTAACGCCACCCGCCCTCCTTTTGTGATGTTAGGCTCTCTCACGTTTGTGGTAAGTATGAATACTGCTTTAATCAAAGCCCATGGTTGGAATACACTGTCTCTACTAGGTCCATGTTCCAAGCAAATCAGATAGTTGAAAAGTCTGTTTTATGGGTTAGATGTCCATATAGTATATCACACTGCGATGAAAATAAATAATGCTTTAAAGAAGTAAGGACTAAAAGCAAATCAAAAGATATGAGAGGGTATAAAATTGTAGAAAAAAAAGGATTTCAGTGTAAGACAAATAAAACATTGAGAAACTCACAAGACTTTGTGTCCAAATTCTGAGCTTTGTATGATTGGCCTTAGTAGATCAGCATCCATAAGATTGAGCTATCTATCTACTTGCAGTAGAAAAAAAGGCATGACTTTTAGGAAGAATAATGTACATTTAACCTGTAGAGATTTGGGAACTGAAAGCTAGGGTTAGGAGCATAAGCTCATGATTAATAAACAATGAATAATAGGAAAAGATAAGCCATATATTCTGTGATTTGGTTATATTCATATTAGTAACTGTCGAACTTGTTGTAGGATCCATTTTGAATGTTTTGTGTATTGGTGAAAATCCCTCCATGTATATACTTGTGCTTTGTTCCTATTGATCCCCTTAGTTGTACATTATTGTATTTTGGTTACATTTGAATTGTTAATACTTGTACTTTTTATTATAGTTTTGTTTCTATTACGCATTCACTAAATTTGTGTTTCTTCCTGAACTGCATTTGTGTTGTTTTACTTGACGCTTGTTCTTGGCGGTAGCCATATTGATTTGTTCCTCCTGTTGTGTGTGATCTATCCAGTCAGGATAGAATAACGTTCATTTGTTGTAACTGATTTGATTGATTGAACAATCATTGGTTGAATAGCCGGGTGGTAATATTTGTTTAGAACTGTAGGATCCAAACACGGTTTGGATGTTGAAGAATAGCATCCGGGGACTTTAGACACGCACGCTTTCCCGTCGAAATCATAACAAGTAATCGGGTAAATAGCGCCAAATGGATGAGATGTCATTTGAAACTCGGATGGTTCTTTCGACATGTCTCCCCCCTGCCACCACAGAAATCTTAAAGCTCCTCGATCAGACTCAGGGACCTTCACTTGCATGAACATTTCTTCAACATCCGCAGAGACTGCGATTGCCTCTTTGCGAAAACGCAATAATATACACACTAACTCAGCAGTTGTGTCGGGTCCTTGATAAATCATATCATTTAGAGAAACACCCGCAAACTTGGCGGCATAGTCAAGGACCACTCTCAGTTTTTCTGGCTTTTTCGGGTTTATAACTGCATGGTGAGGTAAGTACCAACGGGGGCGATAACTAGGTTGCAATTGTATTTCAGGGATCTTTTCCGCATAGCCCTTTGTAAAATTACTTTCAATACTTTTGGTATACCTTGCGTGTAGACTGTTATCCTTCAACAGTTTACGCTTCAAATTCTGTAATCTACTGTTGGCTACTTCATAGTTTCCCACTTTCCTATTTGGATTCTCTTTCCATGGTATAGGAACTACGAAATGGCCGTTGTCGAAGTGCGTGCCCTCTTCCACAATATTTATAGCTGCCTTATCCTTTACCGATAATGATTTATCATTTGAATAAGCATCGGAAAACTCTGCGTCATAAAACTTACGTACTTCGTTCTCTAATGTCTGTATCTTACTGGTGTGATTAACCACTCTTTTCCTATAATCCGGATACGATGCAGGTCCGAAGACCGTCCACCCCAGCAACGTTTTCACAGCGTACGGGTTCTTCCTTCCACCCAACCGTTGGTCTAACACCCAATGTGCTTCTGGTACATCGCAACCAATCAACAGTAAAACTTCTTCAGAATCTAGGCTATCTATTGGCACATCATTTAAATGCGGCCACTTAACTAGGTTGTTCATTGTTGACTTTGTTGGCTTATGACCTGGTATACCTGCCACAATCAGAGCTCCTTCAATCGTAACATGTTCAGATCGATCTAAAGAATATACCTCAAAAGGCGCACTCGCGACCTTCATTGTTCTATTACCGCCCACAGTCTCAACTACCACTGATGCTTCGTCTTCGCTCAGCCCGAGAGACCTCAAACAGTTTGATTTTATCAGTGTCACATCAGAACCGTTGTCCAACAGAGCATAACCCACAATCTCGGCCTTTCGCGATTTCAACCGTACGGGAATCATGCCTAAACACACTTGACTGATTAGTGATTTAGTATATCCGCAACAATTCGAGATACCAGGTTTCTCACTCTCGCTGTGCAACAAGGAATGGTGTTTCTTTTCACAACCCTCAACGTTACAACGCTTTGTCAGCTTACATTCCTTAACTCTATGTCCTTGTCTAAGACAGACGAAACAGATACCCTTGCTTTTAGCGTGAGACCATCGGTCTTGCACTGTAAGCGCTAAGAACTGTGGACATTTATCAATGGCATGGTCGTAGGAACACATACTGCATTTAGTTTTCGTTGTCGAACTATTCCCTTGCCCTGATTGCACGTGACAGTTCGTCTTTACGTTATGCCCTTTTCTTGAACGGTTTGCTAACCGTCCAAATCTACTACAAGCCACTCTCGCACGCGATGCGATAAACTGAGTGAGCTCGTCGAAGGTCGGTTCCCTGTTATCTTCAGTCAATTTATCCACCCAGTCCGCCCACTGGGCTTGCATAGGTTGAGGCAAGAGTCTCACTATTCTTTCCAAAGTAACTAAGGAATTTAGATCAGAAGTATAATTCATCTGTTCCAAGACCATAGCACAGTTTTCCATTTTAATAGCCAAGTTTGATAGTTGGTCCCCGTCAATATACTCAAAATTCACAGCACTGAATAAGTCCTCTAGTGTTTCTCGAGCAATTACGTGAGACTGTCCGAAAAAACGTTTTAAAATCTCCCTTGCTCTTTTATAGCCAGAGGATGCCTCCATCATGACGCAACCTTCAATAGCTGTTTTAGCCTTGCCCTTACAATAGTGTATCAAATAGAGCAAGCGCTGGCTATCATCCGTGACTCTTGATGCTACATACGTCTCAAATTGCCTTATAAACTTCCAGTATCCTCTTGGCTCTCCATCGAAATAACTCAGTTCAACCTTTGGTAGTTCTGGGCCAACAACATGAACTATAGGCAACATGCTCTTTCCTGGTAATTCAGGCCTTTTCTTCTCCTTTAAACTAAGATTTTTTACGTCATCTGACATCGAATTAAGACTAGAATCACTACCATGATAATCAACCCTATTTGAGTCTGAACCATGACCCTTAAGGACGTCAAAAGGCACTTGCTTGACAATAGGGGATTCTTCATTAACATCGACGAACTTTGAGCTTCATTTCCTTCGACGATTAACTGGCATTATAAGCGAAACGACCAATTATTTCCAGAAAATCCGCGAACGATTACCAAAGGATTTCGGCCAAGTAATAATTGTTTAGAACTGTAGGATCCAAACACGGTTTGGATGTTGAAGAATAGCCTTCCGGGGACTTTAGACACGCGCTATTTACCCGATTACTTGTTATGATTTCGACGGGAAAGGGCGCGTGTCTAAAGTCCCCGGAAGGCTATTCTTCAACATCCAAACCGTGTTTGGATCCTACAGTTCTAAACAATTATTACTTGGCCGAAATCCTTTGGTAATCGTTCGCGGATTTTCTGGAAATAATTGGTCGTTTCGCTTATAATGCCAGTTAATCGTCGAAGGAAATGAAGCTCAAAGTTCGTCGATGTTAATGAAGAATCCCCTATTGTCAAGCAAGTGCCTTTTGACGTCCTTAAGGGTCATGGTTCAGACTCAAATAGGGTTGATTATCATGGTAGTGATTCTAGTCTTAATTCGATGTCAGATGACGTAAAAAATCTTAGTTTAAAGGAGAAGAAAAGGCCTGAATTACCAGGAAAGAGCATGTTGCCTATAGTTCATGTTGTTGGCCCAGAACTACCAAAGGTTGAACTGAGTTATTTCGATGGAGAGCCAAGAGGATACTGGAAGTTTATAAGGCAATTTGAGACGTATGTAGCATCAAGAGTCACGGATGATAGCCAGCGCTTGCTCTATTTGATACACTATTGTAAGGGCAAGGCTAAAACAGCTATTGAAGGTTGCGTCATGATGGAGGCATCCTCTGGCTATAAAAGAGCAAGGGAGATTTTAAAACGTTTTTTCGGACAGTCTCACGTAATTGCTCGAGAAACACTAGAGGACTTATTCAGTGCTGTGAATTTTGAGTATATTGACGGGGACCAACTATCAAACTTGGCTATTAAAATGGAAAACTGTGCTATGGTCTTGGAACAGATGAATTATACTTCTGATCTAAATTCCTTAGTTACTTCGGAAAGAATAGTGAGACTCTTGCCTCAACCTATGCAAGCCCAGTGGGCGGACTGGGTGGATAAATTGACTGAAGATAACAGGGAACCGACCTTCGACGAGCTCACTCAGTTTATCGCATCGCGTGCGAGAGTGGCTTGTAGTAGATTTGGACGGTTAGCAAACCGTTCAAGAAAAGGGCATAACGTAAAGACGAACTGTCACGTGCAATCAGGGCAAGGGAATAGTTCGACAACGAAAACTAAATGCAGTATGTGTTCCTACGACCATGCCATTGATAAATGTCCACAGTTCTTAGCGCTTACAGTGCAAGACCGATGGTCTCACGCTAAAAGCAAGGGTATCTGTTTCGTCTGTCTTAGACAAGGACATAGAGTTAAGGAATGTAAGCTGACAAAGCGTTGTAACGTTGAGGGTTGTGAAAAGAAACACCATTCCTTGTTGCACAGCGAGAGTGAGAAACCTGGTATCTCGAATTGTTGCGGATATACTAAATCACTAATCAGTCAAGTGTGTTTAGGCATGATTCCCGTACGGTTGAAATCGCGAAAGGCCGAGATTGTGGGTTATGCTCTGTTGGACAACGGTTCTGATGTGACACTGATAAAATCAAACTGTTTGAGGTCTCTCGGGCTGAGCGAAGACGAAGCATCAGTGGTAGTTGAGACTGTGGGCGGTAATAGAACAATGAAGGTCGCGAGTGCGCCTTTTGAGGTATATTCTTTAGATCGATCTGAACATGTTACGATTGAAGGAGCTCTGATTGTGGCAGGTATACCAGGTCATAAGCCAACAAAGTCAACAATGAACAACCTAGTTAAGTGGCCGCATTTAAATGATGTGCCAATAGATAGCCTAGATTCTGAAGAAGTTTTACTGTTGATTGGTTGCGATGTACCAGAAGCACATTGGGTGTTAGACCAACGGTTGGGTGGAAGGAAGAACCCGTACGCTGTGAAAACGTTGCTGGGGTGGACGGTCTTCGGACCTGCATCGTATCCGGATTATAGGAAAAGAGTGGTTAATCACACCAGTAAGATACAGACATTAGAGAACGAAGTACGTAAGTTTTATGACGCAGAGTTTTCCGATGCTTATTCAAATGATAAATCATTATCGGTAGAGGATAAGGCAGCTATAAATATTGTGGAAGAGGGCACGCACTTCGACAACGGCCATTTCGTAGTTCCTATACCATGGAAAGAGAATCCAAATAGGAAAGTGGGAAACTATGAAGTAGCCAACAGTAGATTACAGAATTTGAAGCGTAAACTGTTGAAGGATAACAGTCTACACGCAAGGTATACCAAAAGTATTGAAAGTAATTTTACAAAGGGCTATGCGGAAAAGATCCCTGAAATACAATTGCAACCTAGTTATCGCCCCCGTTGGTACTTACCTCACCATGCAGTTATAAACCCGAAAAAGCCAGAAAAACTGAGAGTGGTCCTTGACTATGCCGCCAAGTTTGCGGGTGTTTCTCTAAATGATATGATTTATCAAGGACCCGACACAACTGCTGAGTTAGTGTGTATATTATTGCGTTTTCGCAAAGAGGCAATCGCAGTCTCTGCGGATGTTGAAGAAATGTTCATGCAAGTGAAGGTCCCTGAGTCTGATCGAGGAGCTTTAAGATTTCTGTGGTGGCAGGGGGGAGACATGTCGAAAGAACCATCCGAGTTTCAAATGACATCTCATCCATTTGGCGCCATATCATCGCCGTTTTGCGCGAACTTTTCCTTGAGTAAGACGGCCCAGATATTCTCTGACTGTTATGATGATTATGTCGTATATGCTGTTAAGAATAATTTCTATGTTGATGATTGCTTGGTATCTTTTCCCACTTGTGATCAAGCAAAGAGTTTCGTTAAGCAGATAAGTGAATTATTATGTAGAGGAGGTTTCAAACTAAAGAAATGGGTTTACCAACTCGAAGGAGGTAAGGACCATCTTGCCTGATGTATGTAAAGAACAGTCCTTGATATAAATGTCAACGGATTACGACACTAATCATCGAACCCTAGGTGTAGAATGGGATTTTAAACAAGATATATTTAAGTTTTACTTTGATGCACCGGAAAGGCCTCTGATTAGGAGAGGTATTTTATCTATAGTTACTTCTCTGTTCGATCCTCTGGGTCTGATTGCTCCAGTCTGTCTTACTGCCAAACTTCTCTTGCAAAAATTATGTAGGTCCCAAATAGGCTGGGATCAGCCTCTCAACGAGCCATACATGTCCGCGTGGCTAGGCTGGGTAAGTTTTATGCCTCAGATAGGTCACGTCACGGTAGCTCGAGGTATCAAGAGAAAAATCGACGAACCCGACGCGAAAGTGGAATTGCACTTGTTCAGTGATGCTTCAGAGGTTGGTTATGGAGCAGTTGCGTACGTACGAGTCAGCTATTTGAAGGAGTTACCATATTGTATCTTGTTGTACAGCAAGTCTAGGGTAGCACCTATCCGACCATTCACTATACCGAGACTTGAGATGGCGGCAGCGGTGTTAAGTGTGAGGCTTAGTGAAGTATTACGGAGAAGTCTGCCTAATTTTTTCTGCGAAGTAAACTTCCATACAGATTCCATGATAGTGTTATACTACATTAGGAATATTGAGAACCGATATAGCACCTATATAGCCAACCGCCTCGCTGTGGTGCACCAGTATACGAAGGTTGAACAATGGAATTATGTAAAGTCGTCACAGAATCCAGCTGATTGGACATCAAGAGGTGTACAAAAAATGACTGATCTGGAATCTTGGTTCAAATGTCCTACCTTACTGCATGGCGAATTCTGTACAACAATCACTGACTGTCCGGAACCTACTCCTGACGATATTGAGTTTAGGAAAACTGCTGTGGTTAACTTGAGCAGTATAAAGCACAACATGTCACCTATTCTCTCTTATTACTCCGTGTGGTTGAAATTAGTCAGGGCCGTAGCCTGGCTTAGAAGGTTCATAGAATTTCTGATGGTTCTTCGTTCACCGAGTCATGAAGGATCCGTTCATCTAGGATGTTTAAAGGTCAAAGAACTTGACATCGCCAAGCGTAAAATTTTGTTGATGGTTCAGAAAGAAGTGTATGGAGAAATACTTAGTGAATTTAAAACCAATGGTAAAGTAGTTAGTCACAATGATCTGAAGGGCTTATCACCGATAATGTTTGATGGGTTATTCTGTGTTGGAGGCCGACTAAGCTACTCAGATTTCTCAAATGCCTTTAAACATCCAATAATATTGCCCAGTCGACACTTAGTGACAGAAATGATAATTAGACATTATCATAAGGAACAAGGGCACACAGGAACGTCACAAGTACTGGCCACGATTCGAAAAAGGTATTGGATAATAAAAGGAACCAGCACGGTTAAGAGAGTGATAGGAAAGTGTGTGACATGCCGGCGGTTTACGATGAATACAGGGCAACAATTGATGGCACCACTTCCAGCTTGTAGAGTGCAACAAGGATGGTATAGCTTCTCAGCCGTGGGAGTAGACTACTTCGGACCCCTTTTTGTCAAAAGAGGAAGATCATTAGAAAAAAGATATGGATGTGTATTTACTTGCTTGCAAACCCGAGGAGTACATATTGAAATGACACATAGTTTGAATACTGATTCGTTTATAATGGCCTTGTTACGTTTTATTGGAAGAAGAGGGAAGCCTGCCGAAATTTACAATGACAATGGGTCAAATTTCGTGGGTGCGATCTCTGAATTAAGGAGATTTGTGCAACAGTTGAATCAACAGAAAATAGACAAAGAACTGTCAGCTAGACAAATTCAGTGGCGTTTTAACCCGCCCTCATCCAGCCACAGGGGTGAAGTTTGGGAAAGGATGATTAGGTCCATACGCCGACTGTTATTGTTGATAACTAGAGAGCAGACTCTAACCGATGAGACTTTAAACACTTGTTTGATTGAGATTGAAAGGATATTGAACGATCGACCCTTAACTCCGGTCGTTCAAGATGCTAACGATAAACTAGCCTTGTCGCCAAATAGTTTGTTATTATTGAGAGAATGTGACGGAATAGTCGAAGAAGGTAGTATCAGAGATAAATATGACAAACGTTGGAAACAGATTAATCATCTTGCTAATGTGTTTTGGAAAAGGTGGTTAAGAGAGTATTTACCGTCCCTACAAAAACGTCAAAAGTGGTTAGTTGAACACCGCAATTTTCAGAAAGGGGATGTAGTGATCGTAGCTTCGGACATATCGACTCGTGGAAAATGGCCCTTAGGCGTAGTTGAAGATTGTGAAATAGATGACGACGGAAGAGTTAGAACAGTGATTGTTCGTACGAACGGTGGATTAGTCAGGAGAGATATACGTAGATTATGCCTCCTTGAAGGCTCGAATTAGTTCCTCGCATTATTAATGTAGTTAGGTCGAGTAGGCGTACTCGTTCCTATAGTGTAATATGTTATATAATGAACCATGACCGTAGGCATCAAGGTAGCTTGTGTGGTATGGAGGGATTTTGGGGGCCGGTGTAAGATCCATTTTGAATGTTTTGTGTATTGGTGAAAATCCCTCCATGTATATACTTGTGCTTTGTTCCTATTGATCCCCTTAGTTGTACATTATTGTATTTTGGTTACATTTGAATTGTTAATACTTGTACTTTTTATTATAGTTTTGTTTCTATTACGCATTCACTAAATTTGTGTTTCTTCCTGAACTGCATTTGTGTTGTTTTACTTGACGCTTGTTCTTGGCGGTAGCCATATTGATTTGTTCCTCCTGTTGTGTGTGATCTATCCAGTCAGGATAGAATAACGTTCATTTGTTGTAACTGATTTGATTGATTGAACAATCATTGGTTGAATAGCCGGGTGGTAATATTTGTTTAGAACTGTAGGATCCAAACACGGTTTGGATGTTGAAGAATAGCCTTCCGGGGACTTTAGATACGCGCTATTTACCCGATTACTTGTTTTGATCTCGACGGGAAAGGGCGCATGTCTAAAGTCTCCGGAAGGCTATTCTTCAACATCCAAACCGTGTTTGGATCCTACACTTGTTATAATCTTGTTCTGTCTAGATACTGGGCGGTCCGTAATAAAGAGCCTCATTGGTGGGCGGGTGTTCAAGGAAATGTTGAAGCTCTTTGGAGTCTAGAAAGAGGGTTATTAGCTTTTTGAATCTGGTAAACGTATCACAGTTACGGATAGGCATTGACAGCCTGTTCAACAATAAACTATACCGTACTGTAAAAAACTTACAACGCATTTGCTTTTGGTGTTTTACGGTAAGTAGTGTATACGCGTTGTTTCTAAGTCTATAGGCTGGGTCGTGGGTGATAGTCGGGCAGGAGGTTAGAAAGGAGAGCCCATATATCGCTTTGTAGAGAAATATTAAATTGTTCTTTAGCCTACGGTGCCATAAAGGTTCTAAAGATAGATGCTTACATCTATCTGTGTAATCGAGATTCGAGTTACATCTTAGTAGTTGACGGAAGAGTCATCTCGATAGTGAAAATATATGGTTGTAGACTGTTGGTTGAAGGCTGTTCTAATGATGATTGTTAACGACGGAGTCGAATTGATATTTGCGCGTGACTTAAAAGCCCTCGCTTTCTGACGCTCCATCACAAAATACTATGACCTTAAGAACAAAAATCAACTCAATTACTGCTGCAAAATTCATAGATCCAGAAAGGGAAGTAGCTAAAGTCTTTCAGTACAAAATTACTAGAGGGTACGCAAGAGAAACGATAATGAGATTGTTTAGACAAAAAACTTGTCGCCCAAATAAGGAGTGCTTACAGCCTGCAGATGTTACATACTATTGAGGCTTCCTGTGGTTTACGACAGGTCTACTATAAAAGTTTGGCAAATCTATGGTTCATTCGCAAGTCAGTCACAATAACCGAATGCGTTATAAGTATCCAGGTGAGTCTGTTCAAATTTTGGTTTTTAATTCTAATACTAATGGCTGCATTCCTGATCATACATAGCCGAGAGGGCACGTGATGAACCTGAAGAGAAGAAGTATGGCGAATTACAGAAGTTTGGATACCCATCTGAGCCGTGGTGATTGTGGTAATTTTGTCAAGTTCTTCAATTAATCTATTTAACACACTGCATTATTCAAACAGTACCAATTTAACAATTATTACTATCATGTCTGCATGAATAGGTATGCTTAATCACATGTGACAGCGTATGCACATATCTCTCTTTCTAGCTTTAATTTTAAATTGTTAAAAATCATTTAATGAATAATACGCTTTCCAATTTTTATGTGCTTGAATCTTACTAGTTGATTCAAATCCGAATTCCCCTCTGTAATTGTAGCATCTATTAGTTGACGGTCAAGTACCCAGTCATATAATCAATTTTTAAGCACAACATAGCATTCATTCATCAAATTAATGAAAACCTATATGTTTTTTAAACACTTCAGAAGGTTCAGCTATCGATGCTCTACGAAATGGTCTCCAATGTCTACGGGATTGTTTTCAACATATGAAGCAAACATTCATATCAGCAATGAAAATTTCAAGAAGTACTAGAAAATCATCATAATGAGTTGTTTTTCTTCTTTTCAATTGCATATTTTCGCCTCGATTTTGTTAGACTATTTCTAATACTGTTGCAAAAACAGAAACTGTACAAAAACAATTCAAAAGTTGAAAAATTATAATACTAATAACGATAATGTGATTTTTCTAGCTCAACTAACCTAAATAAATATTTCCAGAAAAAAGTCAAAACAATACTTTGAACCATGTGTATGAAAAAGCACAATAACTTCCAACAGACTACAACTTTTGTAGTTGCTAAAGTTTATTGATTGATAATGAAGAGTTCGTTTGTAAATTATGTAACTAGGTAGTTTTTGATGGGGGAGAATATGTCTTCTTTTATAGACATTTAGCTCATCCTTAATTAAGTAATCTTTGAGTCGTTTCAGTACAGTTATTCTGTTCAGAAGTCACATGCATATATGCCAAGACAGAATTAAGAATGACGTATCGGTAAATTTAGACCTATTTGACACTAGAAATATATTCGCATACTATTACAATACCTTTCATTTGTGCTTCACATAGTTGGTCACTCGAATTTTGAATGAACTAACTCAGTCAAACGTAAAACTACTTGGTCAACAATTTATTATATGCACCTCGTTTGTTGATATCGTGAGACTAATGTAGTAGGATCCTCTGCACCAGTAGACTTCAACATACACAAGGTGAAAACCAAGATCCTCAAATACAACACAGAGAACACCGACTCAATCACATTTGGTGGAGGAACTCTTGGAAATGTGGAGTTTTCCATGTACCTGTGCAGTATCATCGATGAGCATGGAGGATCTGGTGCAGACGCAAAAGCGAGGACTGGCAAAGTAAGGGTTGAATTCCTACAGTTAAAGAACATATGGAATTAAAAACAACTGTCGACCAATATCGAAGTCACAATCTTCAATACAAACATCTCGACAGTTCTGTTGAATAGAGCTGAAACGTGGAGAATTATCACAACCATCACCAAATATGTGAAAGTATTTATCACCAGTTGTCCACTCAAGATACTCAATATCTGTTGACCGTAATCCATCAGCATCAGCCTTCTGTAGGAGAGGACGAAGCTGGTTCCATCTGAAGAGGAAATCAGGAAGAGACGATGGAAATGGGATAGGACATATATTACAGAAACCTGCATTACGAGGCAAGTTCTAACTCGGAATCTTGATGGAAAACGGGGAAGTGAAAGGCTGAAGAACACACTGCACCGAGAATTGGAAGCAGACACGAAAAGGACAAGTAGTAACTGCAAAGGGTTTCCCTGGACAGAGTGGATGGAGAGTG